ATGCAGTGACTGTTAGGTTTAGCGGGAAAGTTGCTAAATGCGCATGCGCCGATGCGCACAATGAGATGCGCAGCGCAAGTAAAAGTGCTTCCGTACGACTACCACTAACATATCTGCATTAATTACGAACAACGCACCTTCTAAAGAGAAATCCTAGGTACTCTACAATGGAGATTTCTTAATTTTTTCTTGTATCCCTTTCACAATTTTACTGATTTCGGTGAAGATCCACATTGTATATTTCTTCCTTCATCAATCAATGTGTACTCAACACCCGCCCCCACCCCCCCGAGCCAGGGAATACCTTGGCAACCTGAGGGTTTCCTTTCCGTTTTCTTTCTTTAGGTTGGCACTAATCTGAACTATATAAGATCCTCAATTTACGACGTTCCCTAACCAATTACCAACCCTACAAATAATTGTCGTAGCAATCTCTACATAGAAAAATAATAGCAATAAGATTTTTTCAAAAACAATTACTTTGTGTAATAACATACGTAAATCTAAACAAATTCAAAGACACGATCTAGCTCAAAGTCAATAACGCGATCGAAATAGACCAATAATGGACATGCAGATAATAACAATGTTAACAATGTGTCCATTATTACAGGAGCATTGTGTTGAGTTCGTCCTTGTGACGTCATCACAACTACCTACTACAATATTATACTGTTTGTATGTTTGTTTTGTTATTAGTGTCATCGCGTAACCGGTTTTTATAGTAGTAACAAATAGTACAATTACATGCAAAAGTGTATATGCAAATATTTATATTCTGACCAAACTTAAAACACTCATGTTATGGACAAACGGACTTTTGTAGCACAAATACATTTGTCCCATGCATTATACAAGTACTTGGTGTAATTCTCAAGATTTTTTTTATATTGAATAAACCAGTGCTTGACCACAAACCCACTTGATAGTAAGCGGCTATGTTTTTATTTTCAAAACTGTCGAATTAATGACAACATATCTTTATATATATAATTCTTCTGTGCGTGTGTATGTCAGTGAACTTCTCTCAAACGACTGGACCGATTTTGATGAAATTTCTTGTGTGTGTTCAAGGGGATCTGGGAATGGTTTAGATTCACAATTTTCATCAAATATTAACTTCATATTAATTTATTCAAATTAAAGACGTGTAGACAGGACAACGTGTGTCGGGTCCGCTAGTATAAATATATGATTTCTGTTATAAGTCTTAGGACTAAAAGCATTAATATATCTCTTTTGTTATTTTGTTTACTGATATTTTACGCGATAAAATCCGTAAAATTGTTTTTATCTGCATTCATAATATCAATAATACAGCAATTTATGTTGTATGAATATTAAACAGATCCTTCTTTACCTTAGAGGTATGTATAAAAACCTTGCTTTATTCCTTTAATACCTCATCTTTAACATAAAACGATGTGCATTTAAACTTCAGATTTTTCCTGAATTTGCACATTTTATGCATATTTCACCTTTTGCATTTGATTTGTTTTACTATAATTAAATAATTGTTAACGTCTCTTTTTATCGATTAGATTCGATTGTTTAAAATGAATTTTACGTAGAAATATTTCAAGATAATATTTTGTCTGTTTTATTTGACATGTAATAAAGATTCTTTTTCAACTCTACAGACTTTAGTTCGAAATTATAACATATAGAACATATACCTCAATGACGTATTTATACTTTTTTCGTTTACGCTACATTGAATCTATTCTTCTAAGTTATTACTTGTAAAAAAAACTTTAAAACTGTTAATAAATTAACACCATCATTAATCATTCTATGGTTGTTAATAATATTGTTTCGTTTAAATCTTATTATGTATTCAATATTTGATAAACTAAGGATCCTTTTAAATTTCGATAACTTATTTGTTCTTTTTTTCTTATTTTTTGCATATTTATCGTCTACATCGGTACGTTCACCTTGGCTTAATGTTTCACTGATGTCATATCATATTATAAATACATGTAAAATCTTTGAAATACATCGATCATACAGAGCTGGTAAAGTTTCCGAACATCTCGTGTACCTAAGCCTTTTACGATATGTTAAAAACACATCAAGACAATTTATTTCCATTAATCATTATTGTACAAAACAATTATTAATGATAGTTATAATTCATTTACAATATTAGATTTCTATTCATACATTTGTAAAACGTACAATAATACTTAAGTATTACTTTGGGACATGTTCTGACAAGGTCTAAGGAGAAAAGTCCTTATGACATTAAAACTATAGGCTTTTAGCTAAATGTTTTCTATTAATAATTACAGTTATTTTTGGAAAACATTGTAAAGAGAGAAATCTGTATAATTATGTTTAAAATTCCTTATTGGATTGTGCCTAATTTAACTGTATTTATTCAAACGGTAAGAATAAATCAGAAACTTTCTTTTCATACTGTTGTTACTGTGAGAGCTTAGAGCTTTAAGTTGTGTCGACATGTTTCTCATATTTCTAACTTAATAACTTAAATGTGACCTTTTTCATGTGACGAAATAATACGTGTAAAGCTATAAAAAAAACTTTCCCAAACGCAACGGATTACGTGGAGGCTTGACAAATCCTAACATAAGTTATGGAAATGTACTTTTTAATATTCATAAAAGGGATTTTACAATATTACGTATTACGTAGAATGTATACTAATCTGTTAAAATGTTTTCATAATCATATTACAAATTAAGAAATTTCGTTTTTACGAGTTACATACATTCCAATTTTTTTTCTTCTATGTATATATTCTATCGTTTTCGTTTTACTTAAAAAATATTAGACCAGTCTAGTCTTTGTAACTTAAATTAAATATAATAACAGCTTTATAACTTAAATGAGAAGAGTCCACAGTGCGTTATAATATGTCTATTTCATAACGCAGTTAAACAAAAAACTAATTTATATTTACTAAATTACATCAAATTTGTAAGCAATGCTGTTAATACGATTATTTAATATCCTGTTCCATACATTCACATTTACCTAATTAGGTTCTACATATTTTCTTAATAAATAAATAATTATTTTACATTTTTTCACTATATAAGATGCATCTCCTAAGGTCCAAGTTCAAGACTATTTACTAGAATTAACTATTTCATATTTGTAGTATTACATTTAAAAAAACCTTGTAGTTACATTTGTAAGCGATGTGGAATTCAAACTTTACACAGGTGTTAGATTCGGGTCGATCAAACAAGCGCAGTTCGTTGTTGCGTAATTACGCGCCTCGCACAATGAATACGATCTCACTACACGTTATATTCTTTGTTTTAAACAAATAACTAAATCAGATAATTAAGAAGCTACAACAAGTCATCTCTTAGCTAAACATATCCATATCAAAGTTGGTTACGTACTCTTTTAGTAGACATTATAAGGGGTGATACATTTTCCCTACGTAAATGTTTTACTTGTATATATCAAAAGTGTGTGTATCAACAATATAGGTATACCCTTTAAATATATTCAGGAATAAAACTTGAGTATCTAAACATACATATCCAAGCATTAATACAGAAAAATTCTAAAATACACATGAATCTCATGAGACATGAGCAGTCACAATCCACCACGTATTAAGGGCGGCTATAGATAGAAAACAGTATTGTCTACTACGTCACTTGACCATATAGATAGAGGTTAATTTAACTTTAAGCACTAAATGCTTTACACAATTATAGAACGTAACTTAAAGGTAGGCATCCATGTTAATAAAGCAGATTGAAACAACACACGGACGAAGCTAATGCGAAGTACTAGTGTAATAGAGAACATAAGTATAGTATAGAAAAATATGCAGTACGCACATTGCGTGATTCTGATTTAGTTAGCCATTGAATTGAAGTAGCTTATTGTTGCTGCTATACAGGATGTTCTTTTATAGTTGACTCCTTTTGTGTGTATGTATTATTTGTAAAAAAAAAACAATTCAGTCGCGCCATAATATTATTAGAAGTAACAAATATATGTGAACGATTTGTGCAAACATAATTTAAATTAACAATTTAGTGTCACTTGTGAAACAGAAAGCGAAGGAAGGCGTTTGTTTAGTTGTAACTAATATTGTGTAAACACCATTACTAAACCGGTGAAGACAAAAGTGTCCTCTACAATGCAACCAGTGTTAGCAGACACTTAGTTCCTCTTTATAATGAAGCATTTCCTTCTACAGTGCTACATATAGAGAGAGATCTTACTTTGTTGGTTCTTATGGCGCCTCATTGTCGGCCATCTTACACGCATTAGTGTATTTGACAGATCGTTGCAAAATATAATACTCTGCGTTCCAGTTTAAATAATGTATTAAAGCAATACCTAGTTTGATGTTCTATAGAAACACAAGCCTCGAAATTTAACGGCAAGTTTAAAACAAAGGCAATAAAATTGAAAAGTTGTACATATACTTTAATTATCTTACAATTATTATCAGGTAGGAGCGATTAAAACACGTAAACAATAACTTGCGCGTCGATAACATAAAATATAATTAATGAGCATGCATTGTTTGCAAATTAACTCGGAGGAGGTGAAGGCGCGCCTCAAAACGTGTCGGCGATCGCACGTCACAAATAACTAGAGAATTATCAGATTTCGTGACTTATTTGTCAAACAAAAGACAAACATTTGTCATGTTTTTCTTTCCTGGTTTTTCTCGTCAAAAAAAAACTTTTTTTTATGAAAATATTGTGAAAAAACTTTGGTCGCGTACAATGGTATCAATAAGAAATCTACTAGTTTTACCCGTTTCTGACTGACAGCTTTGGTTTCTGGCCTTCTTTCGCATTTATATCATTCTCCATACTTCATACTTACGCGTCCTCCAAACAGTTGTTAGCTGTGCGTGCACAATCTAGATGCACGTGCCGCTTACCTAATGATACCATCTCTGGGATGTTTACACTATTTTGACATAACGTTACCCCGCCATTAACATTTTTGACATTCCAGTTAACGTTGCAACGTGAATTAAGCATGAGAAAATTACTTGTTACTCCTAAATGAATCTACGACAAATAAATTTTCCAATTCTATAAGTAGTTACGGTTTAAAATAAATTATGTAAAAAAATAAGATTCTAATGGCACATCCAACTTCTAATAGCAATTAAAGGCGTTGCTCAAGCATGTAAATAGTTAAAAAATGAGGTAATTCCATGCGCATGCGCAAACCTGAGTTTTTGTTACGCAAATAGGATGCTTCAGATCACAATCTGCAAATATGAATATTGCATCCTCACGACACCATACACGCATAATAATAATAAGTGGGAGGAAATTATGGTTTACCTATGAATCTATTACAAGTGGTATCCGCAAAATAATTGGCGTATTTTAAACACAAATCATTTTAGTTGCTTATAAAAAGTTAAATTTTACTTAATTCTTCCATTTACATCTTTTATTGTTGAAATTGTAGACAAGCATAACTAAAATTGCTATGAATTGGAAACCTTACGTCGTAAACAACAACTTGGTTATGTCAGAGCATTGTTTCAACAAGAAATGTTACGATTAATTAATTTTTATTACGTCTGAAAGTAAATAAAGCTTTTGAAACTTGTTACAAAAATCTCCCGTCCTCACGCAATATTTCTTAATTATTTAATTTCATTAGTATGTGTACGTAACATGCGCAGGCGCATTATCGGAGCATCAACGCGTTCACACGCTCTAGATCCGACATTTAACGCGGTTTGTAACAAAGAGACGTTACGACCTGTGTTGCTACCACACAATGCTTTACTGAATTCAGCTTACCCACTAATGCGTCACTAATAGGTCAGTAATGGCTTACTTTGTATTCGCTTAAGTTTTTTGATATATTCACTTTTTTTCAAATTCGCTTAAACTTCATGCCAAATGATGACTGACGTGTAGAATATACTGTGCAGCGCAATCAAAGCGGCGTGAACGCGGGCAGCAGGAGCGGCAGCGGCGGCGGCAAGCGATTCGCGTTCCAGTCAACAGTGCGGCGACGCGAGCGGCGGCGGCTGGCGGAGCGGCTGGCACGGGACGCAGAGCTGCGCGAGCAGCAGCGCAGGACAGAACTGGAGGCCATGAGAAGGTACCCAGACTATACCAAGTATTACTAAAGACTCGACAACTTAGAAAACAATCATACCTTGACTTCGTATCCTTATTGTGTGTGTCCCGGTTGCTACTAGTGTTGTGACTTGTACTTAATTTCTTTCTATCCCTGCAGAGTGGAGGAGGAGTTCCAGAGGAAGAGGGCGCGGGAGAAGGCTAGCATAAGGCAACAGCTGCGCCTGGTGAGCAGCGGCGCCGCAAGCCTGCCCACGCCCACTCACAATAAGGTACCACTCATATAACATACTTAAGTATAGTAAAGGCAGTAGGATAAAAAGCTAAACGTGGTATGCGTGCAGGGTAGGGACGAGCCGGAGGGATGCAGTCGGGGCGAAGGTGCGGGCGGCGAGAGGACGCGGGATGCGGCGCGCGCACGACACAGCAACCCCGCCTCCGACACCGGCAGCCGCAGCAAGAGCTCTACGCCGGTACGCATATAATGATATTATACACTTTTTAGTAGCCTTTCGTCTTCGAAGCATAAAGATAAACGTTATTGTTTATTGCAGATCCGCTGCGTGGAGTTGTCGGAGTGGCGCACAGGGCCGACGGCGCGCGTGTACCGCGACTGGGCAGCCGCGCCCGTGCTGGCCCACACACACGCGCACGCGCATCCTCCCGCATGCGCCACCATCACGCACGCCCACGGTAAAATACTTGCTCCTTTCTACTGACATGCACTCATCTCACATACTAAATAGAAAACATGTGTAAAATAGACTACGTTGTAAAATCTCTTGTCGCCATACGTAGAAATAAGGAAAGATGAAATACTAAATGTTCCATAACTTAACCCAAATTACTAACCGCCTTTGTGGTCTGGAGTTCAATGCGGCTGGGCGTGTCTGTGAGGTAGGTCATGTCGTTGTCGGCGCTACATTAAATGTAACTGGAGCGGACGTCCATTAGCGCTTCGCCACACGATACAAAATGCAGTGTACATTTACTTTGTGTATATTTCTAATACAACTACTACTGAAACACCTGAATTCAACCATTAACATTATAGAACGCAAAAAGAGACAGAAATGATGATTGTTTAATTCAAGCACAGTATTGTAAGACGTGTTAATATTGGTAGGTGTAGAGTCGGAGGCGTTCAGCGGCAGCCCTCGCTCCGACAACTACCGGCTGGAGTTCGCCCGCGGCCGCTCCCCCCGCTCCCCGCGCTCCCCCCACTCGCCCCGCACTCCCNNNNGCCTCCTCCCCGCCCCCGCCTCGCCCTCCTCCTCCGGCTCCGAGCTCTCGCTTCGAGCACTACGTGTCAGGTATATTAATATATAACTTTACTAACTATTACTTAAAGTTCAATCTTTGTTTATGGACAAGGGCATGTCCTTAAGTGACAGCCGTAGTTTGACGAAACCAGAACGATCTTCTTTTTCTATTGTCCTGTTGTTCCTTTAAATGCTTCATAATTTAGGCACTAAATGCACGAAGTTCGCTTGCACTAAACCTAGTCTGTAGTAGTAGTTTGTAGTAAGGCTAACAAGTTTGTGTGTTCCCAAGGTGGTGATACCGTGTAGTGCCTTTATAACAACTAACTGCATACCACAGGTGACAGGTGAGTGCTTCACACGTAATTATCATTGTGTTTTGAATAATTTTGTATGCTACAAAATATGAGTTGTCCGTGTATTCGTTGCCTTATCATTTATAGCATAAAAATATGTGTTGTAGAGAAAGCGGTGGGGAGACAGAGGATTCCCCCCTCACCAGCAAGCTGACCTCGGGGCCGGCGCGCGCTTCAATCGCCATTCGCTGATGGATCGCCGACAAGGCAACATCGCACGTACTTTTATTGCATTATAAAAAAATACTAAATTTCCACAGATAACACAAAAGTAAATTATAAATATTTCAATGACCTAACTTAACTGCACTGTTCATTACTTTGTATAATTGTAAAATAATTATCATGTTTTTTAAAAAACTGTATCGGGTACTGTAAAATATGTTTACTGAATTGAATACAGATTTCAGTCAGAGTATTGTAAAACGATAAAAAATTTAAACCAGACTTTAGCTTGTCATCTTATTAAAATATTCAATAAACTTATATTAAATGAAACTAAGAAACAAATATTAATAAGTTTTCTATCTTTATCAGTATATAAGTAAGTTTTTTTTAATTATGAAAATTAAATATATCCTTAGTTAATAGGAATTGCATTAGACATCGTATTCCACTCGTAAGCGAACACTGGAGCTTTAATATAGTCTATAACTGTATCTATACTAACTTATATATGCTTAAAAAGGTGCTAAGTTTTAGATTTTAGAACTTAAGTTTTACTTTTATTAAAGAAGTGTTATTACAACTGGCTATATTATTTTAAATTCAGAATTATGTTTCACAGACCTTTATGAATGGACTGGTTATTAGATGTATTATTTTGTGCATATTTGATTTTCGCCATTGTGGCGCTGATGGACGCGGTTTATAAGTGTCGTGTGAATTCTGCTGGTACTGCCAAGTAACATCAACGGGCGTGATTAAATCGAAACGAAGAAAAATGTATCATTACGAAGCAATCGCCTATCCATTTATAAAGATTAACTTACTAGAGAATATTAGTTTTTTGAAGCCTGAATATACGTAATAAGGTGGATTTGTTTTCATAACATACTTTACCTACCATGCATTACGAAGAATATATTCAAAACTGTTCGTTTTTATTTATAAAAAAATATTAATAATACAATGCAAATAATGTCTGCATTTGATTTACAATTGTGATATAAAAAACAAACAAATTCAACCCTGCATTTTCACTGGAGTTTTTGGGCCATAGAAACCCACTGTATTATTTTTGTTTGAATCAGTTAGAGTCACGCAAATCTTTGTAGTTTGCTACAATTCGGTAGAATATAATCTGTGGTAGTTATAAACATATAGTAAAATGCATATGTCGACACTGACTTAACTGGGTCACTGGAATGGTGACCGTTCTACCATAATGATTACCATCCAAGCCCACTTTATTATTCACGTTCAATCGATGATATTGATTGAAATTGACCTACAACCGTTTAGCACGTAGTTTTATCGTATCAGGCATTCATTAAAATGTTTTTAGGGTTCCGTACCAAATAGGAATAATGGAACCCTTGTAGGATAACTTTGTTGTCCGTCCGTCTGTATGTCAAGACCCTTTTTCTTAAAAACGCGTGAAGGTATCAAGCTGGAATTTATTTAAACATACAAATTATAAACAAAATTGCCTATCTAGAAATAATGAAGATAATAAGTTGTTCTAAACCGATTAAAATGTTTTCATGTTCTTACATAGACACGACCGTAGATATTAAAAACTTTTTTTATAATTAAAAGTATTAATTTTATGTGTAATAATATAATAAATGTGCAATACACAATATTTTGTAATAAATAAGAGTAGTCGCTCAACAATGGAACATTTCTTCACAAATCATACAAAGTTGTTTAAACGAGCAATTTATATCGATAATTTTATAATTATCAAATAACATTTGTAAATATAAGTTAGCTGCAAATTTTTATATAAAATGATTTATAACATAAATATGTAAAATGAAACAATAAACTTATTTACATTGTTTCCGTCATTTCATTAATTATGAACACAATCCTATACATGCTCGTCCAATGTATGAGTTCTCCTTTATTTCTCTTGTCTGTATTAAAATCCTACACATGTAGAAAAATACAGTTCATAAATAAAAACTGAAAATAAACACATCCACACCTCTTCCGAAAAAAAACCAACAAAGGCGTGTTCAAATCGCAGCTTACAATAGCGTTATTAAAGAAAACGCAATAACTTTCCTGTAATTGATGTAGGAAACAGTGGGGCAACGGCCTGGACGTGGTGAAATAATAAAAAAGAAATAAATTTACAACAACACGATTTTAGATTACATCGATGCTTTACTTACATCGTTCTTGCAGCTCAGTAAGCAAAGCGTCAATGTACGAAGGCCAGAAAGCGGTCATAGAAATTCTATAGGTTAGACATGCGCAAAGGAGTTTTATTAAAAAAAATCTTTTGGAGGGAATTATTCGGTCTTGTGAGCTTCAGAGACGATGGTGTTTCTGTTATACTTAAACATTTCTCAGTACTGCTTAGTCTTATAATTCTATTAATAATTTTAGTTTTTAACGACGTAACATAATTCTAATAACATTGTAAATGATCTGTTAGTTAAATATAACATTTTAAACTATTTTATATCACGAAAACTTTTAAACACATGAAGCAAAGAACAGAACTATTGTGGTGTTAATAATTTAACACTGGCGGTAGAAGCATCTTCTCCTGACTCCAGCCCACCTCGGTACCCACCCCGGCACTATCCGGCGTATACCTTCAGGTGCCATTTGCTTTCCGAGGTGCCGGAACCATCGTCTGCCCCCGCGGTGTTGGTGCCGGTGACCGTGAGGTCCCCAGCGCCGCGGGCAGCGCCTCCGCCGCGGATAGTGGTGTCCCCACCGCGCAGGGCCATGGGGGACGATAAGCGCGATACTGGACTGCGAGAAACTCTGGAGGACAGGGACCCTAACAGCTTGAATCAACATGTGCAAGTAAGATGTATCACTTCGTTTAGAGTTTAGTTTTAACTTTTCAAAATTTCCAGGCAGTAACAGTAGTATCGCAATTGCTATTTGAATTACTCATTAATTAGAGAACTAAGCCAAGCTCGAATAACAAAATGTGTAGCAATATATTAATCAATTTTATCAAAACATTTAATATAATCCAAAGAAAACTTGTCGCGAGGACATCACGCGAGCGAGCACAAGTTGCGTGATAACCTACACGTAGAAGGGGTGACCAGAGTGACGGAGTAGTCGCCGCTCCACTACTCGGGTTATTGAATATTTGACCTGACATTTTATCTCTCAATCTTCATTATATTACCATATTTCAGGTGTTGTAAGAGTTCTAATAGAAGCTAAAATTATATCAGCGGGCCTAATGTCGGAAATAATTTTTTGGAGCATAATTACTTTCTATTCTAAACACAATATATATATTTTAAACCATGGAATTTTGAAAAGAACATAGTTCAAATAGAAGAACATTTCCATTCGGTGTAGTTAACGTATAATTGGTTTTCTAGAATATTTACATTCTATGGGTTAAGTCTATATGCTTATGAGCGATAAGTTTGTACGACAATATAATTTGTTGGTACATATTCAGATAGTATGGGACGACATAATCGGTGAGCCGGAGGGCGCGCGCAGTCCAGAGTGTGCGTGGCGCGTAAGTCGCGCGTGTTTTGCGCGCGCGCGGGACTCATGCTACACCCTGCTGGCCGTGCTCGCCGCTCCACCTTGCGCACTGCTACTCGGCTGTGGATTCGCTTGCCTCGCATTTGAGGTAACAACTGTACCCAATGAAATACACTTCTAAGACTGGCCCTGGCTTCAAAACTCCTAAAGTGTAGTGCCCACACAAAGAACAGGCGGGAGGGCGGAACAATTCCGTATGAATCAATGAAAATCCCTCCAATTTAAATATTTAGTAATTTGACCTTCCCAATATGTATAGAATATTAAGACAACCCGTAACGATATTTTTACCATGTAAGTTATTTTGTATTTTTAAACACACAGTCGTCTAAGTACTTAGGTATTAGCATAAGATTGTTGTAGGCGCTATTAAAATGTCACGAATGTTATTTCGTGTAAAGCGACGAACTCTATTTCTACACAGTTACACGTAATGGAAAATCAATATTCTCAAGCGACTTTACGACGACAATTTACACGTAAGAAACATACAAATGTAAAGAAAAAGAATGAATAAATTATTACAAGAAAATAATGCTTTCATTTAACTCTTCCAGCAAATCTGGTGCTCGACGCCGTGCCTGAGATGTGTGAAGATCTATTTAGCGTCACTCCGGAATGTGGTGCAAGCGTGCATGGCGGCGACAGTGGCGCCCGCCATGGACGCGCTCGGACATGTCTGCCGCCACATACGTATCAACTACAGGCAGGACGCGACTGAAGATAGAGACTTACTTGTTATTTAATTTTCATTTACATTTAATAAATCGATAAGTAGCACAGAATAAAAATGAATAAAAAAAACACTGCTAAATTAAGGAATTGTAGACAGATTAAAAAAAATCTAACTCGCTTTGTAATTCTACGAAATTAAAAAAGAAACAATTTTAAAATAATATTATCCTATCACTTTGAGAACGTATTGTAGTTATAGTCAGTGATATATCGGATGACCACACCATTTATTACACATGAACCTAACCTAACATGCACAAAACTTTAATATTAAACCGCGTGATTCTGAATGTAAATAACAAATTTTGTAAAAAATATTATGTATGTATAATATAATACATACATAAACAATTTTTTATTAATAAATACTGTTTGAAAATAAAATGAAAACTTATCACACTTTTGTTTTTTTTTAAACTGTAAGTTTGAAAAACCTTTGCCTTTTACTTTTAGGAGATATCTAGAAAGCGACTTTGGCGGGAACATAATTTTGTTTGCTTTATGTCAATAAGTCCCATATTTAAACTAATTTACTCGAAGATTGCAAAATTTATTTCAATATGCAAATGATGGATGTAGACGAAAACGGCACATCTTCAAATTCCGCAAGACCTCATACAGGCAGTGTGTCACGAAACAAAGAAAGCAGTACCAGTGAAAATGCATTTGTATTGACGACTTGTTCTAGGTATGTTTTTTAAATTTAACTCGTAACCAACACGCAAGCGCCCTCTTTTGTTTAAGGATAAAAATTTGTATTATTTTTTGCAACAGAAACAAGGTTGAATTTCCTAAACAACATACAAGTACAAGCAACAATGAGGAAACTACTGATGAGTCGGAAACTGAAGAGGTATTGTTATTATTGCATTTGAACACATGTTTTATCGAGTAAATTACAATATAATAAAGAAGGTTTGTTTTTATTTCAGCGTCTTTTAGTAATTTACTGCCGTTCTGGGAAATTGGGCGCTGCCTACTACACTCTGCAGACAGGAGAGGTCTAGTATTTACATATATTCCAAAGGTTTAAGTAAATATAGAGTGCTACATGAGATAGATTTTATTATTTTCGTTTGGGTGTTGCCAGCTATTTGTACTGGACGAGATCGTGGACCGTCCACCGGAGCACCAGATCCTGTGCAGCCTGTTCCGGCAGGTCCGTCCGGCGCTGCTGCTTCTCGACGGCAAGGCGCCCGCCGGCTGCGTCAGCGTCACCAAGTCTCTGGTGTTCGCTGATTCCAGCGCGGATGAAGACGCTCACTGCAAGCTGCAGTTCATCTCCTCTAAAGAATATAGTACTAAATACGAATTCTAAATTCAATAGCAGACAGACGAAAAAGCTTTAGGATTTTTTTTGTGGACCCATGATTTTGTTTGCCTTATAATTGTTGCTACGAAACCCATTTCCCCTTCCTCTCGTTTCCCCGTGTGCGCGGACCGACGTGGTCAGACTACGAGGCGTGTCGGCGGCGCGTGCTGTCGCTGTCGCTGGCGCAGGAGCCGGCGCGGTGCTCGGGGGCGGAGCGCGAGGTGTTCCTGCGCACGGTGCTGGACCTGGGCCAGGCGCTCAGCGTGCACGCGCTCGGCGCCCTGCTGCGACACCTCGACCTCAACTGGGCCAACCTCAGCCTCAACCTTTATGGCAAACCGGAATTCCTTCGCTTGAAAAGAGTCTCACTGTGAGTGGAAACTACCCAAATTGACTTGCATAGTGACCAATTGACTGTGATGCGGCAGTCAATATTTAGTTTATTATGACACGAACATTACATAAACATTAAGTGTATGCGTGTGTGTGTAGGGCGGACATAGTGTGCATAGACGAGGACACGTACAGCGGGCTGCAGGTGTTCAGCGCGCTGGCACACCCCGCGGGGCTGCGGCGCGGCGCCCGGGGCTCCGCGCGCGAGGGGCTCAGCCTCTACCAGCTGCTCGGCAAGTGCGCCTCGCGCCTCGGACACGCCGCGCTCAGGTCAACTCGGCAAACATTACTGTAGCGCCCCACTTGACCTCAATACTGAAGCTCAAGTGTTTTGAATATTTAGTGCGATATTGCAGGGTACTGATGCGGCACCCCAGCTCGGAGCTGGCGACGCTGCAGCGGCGGCTGGACGTCATAGAATTCTTCACGCGGCCGGAGAACGACAGCCTCATGCGGAACATCTGCTCCTCTCTCAGATACATCAGGAACGTCAACGTGAGACATTCCGTATTTGGTATTTAAAGAACGATCAAAAAACTGTTGCTCTTGTCTAAATTCTTCATTTCTGAAAATGTTCACGCAGGGCATCCTTGCAAAAATAAAAGCGTTGTCAGCCAAACCTTACCAGTGGAAGGCGCTTTACAATGTATGTATCTTATTAGTATTTATCTAATTAGATCCCAGACTGAAAACTGTTAAATAAAATATCTTTATCAATCAGACTTTATACCACGCGGTGCTGATCTGCGAGGTGTGCGAGAGCGCGGAGGAGAGCGGCGGTCTGCTGCGGGACCTCGCCACCACAGACATACAGCATCTGTACGAGGTCACTCACACAGCACACACCTCTCTACCAATCAATATTATCCTAGTCTGTGTAATCCTAGCGAGCACATGTCGATCCATCAGATGGCGCTGAGCATGAACAGGATCATAGACTTCGAGCTGTCCAAGACGGAGGGCAAGTTCACTGTGAAGGCGGGCGTCGACCCAGACCTCGACATCAGTGAGTACTCATACCGATGTGACGTGCAACATTCATATTCTGTAGGAACTCACCGACCTCTACTCGATATAAGATATACAGAAGAAAACGCATGAGAACGTTTACTGGCAAGCAGTTTGTTATTGCACGTGTAGAGAAGCAGACGCTGGCGAGCCTGGGCGGGCTGATGTCGGAGACGGCGAAGGTGGAGCTGGCGCGGCTGCCGGAGTGCGTGCAGGAGTGCAGCATGCTGTACCTGCCGCACCTCGGCTACCTGCTGGGCGTGCGCGCCTGGCGCCCAGACCTCACCGCCTCGCAGAAGGAACTGCCCAACATGAAGTTCATGGTCTTACGCTTCTTATTTTCTCCATTACTGAAACACATCAGCCGTGCCTTCCTTGGATATCATAAGACCAGAACCGGTCATATTACGATTACATTTCCCTTTATATTTTTAATTTATTTTGTGTTTGCAGTTCCAAAACAACGACTACATACATTACAAGAGTAAGGGGTGCGAAGGTAAGATGCTCATCGGATGTCAATTTCATTTTACGGTAAAAGACAGGCAAGAAAATACACGAGTGATACGTTGCGTAGAGCTGGACGTGATGATAGGCGACACGTACCCGGAGATCGTGGCGCACGAGACGCGCATCATGATGCGGCTGACGGCGCTCGTGCTGCAGCACCTCCGCACCCTGGCCGCGCTCCTCGACAAGTGCGCGCACCTCGACTGGTATCTCTCTCACTACCACCATCAATTGTATTCTATTCCTTCGCCTGAGATTCAAACGATCTTCTGCTTTTGAAATCACTTTACTAATTAAACATTAAAAGTTGCTCTACGATATTAATTCTTGTTCCCCGTCAAGTCTGATAGCCATGGCGAAGGTAGCCAAGGAGATGAACTTCGTCCGCCCGACGCTGACGACGGAGAAGGTGATTAGGATCAAGCAGGGGCGGCACCCGCTGTACGCGGCCTCGTGCGACGCGCTCGTCCCCAACGACGCCGAGAGCAGCCTCGAGGCGGGACTCGTCAAGATCATCACCGGCCCCAACGCCAGCGGCAAGTCCGTCTACTTGAAGCAAACAGGTAGCTATATAATTACCGCAGCATCGATTAGCTGCTAGCCGGCAGAGACGACATATGGTGCAAGTCGCAGGTCTGATAGTGTACCTGGCGCACATCGGCAGCTTCGTGCCGGCCGCGGCGGCCGAGATCGGTCTGCTCAGCCACATCTTCTCCCGCATCAAGTCCACCGAGTGCGTCGCCGCGCACATGTCCGCCTTTCTCATCGACCTCCGGCAGGTACACGAGTTGCCGCTCATATCTCCGGCTCGAAGAGCTAAAGGCATCACAATCCTTTTCCTGTGGTCGGCAGATGGCGCTGACGCTGCGCGAGTGCACGACCAACTCTCTGGTGATAATCGACGAGTTCGGCAAGGGCACGGCGGAGGGGGACGGGCGCGCGCTGCTCGCCGCCTGCCTCAACGCGCTGCTGGTGCGCGCGCGCCGCTGCCCGCACGCGCTGCTCGCCACGCACTTCCTCGACATCAACCACTACCTTCTCGACACGCCGCTCCTCACCTTCCTTGTCAGTTTACATCCTTGCAACTGATTCTATGCACTTTTCACGGTGCAATTCCAATGTCAATCACATGATATACTATAGTATATGTATGTGGACGTTGTGCAGAGGATGGAGCACGTGTTGCGGGAGGGGGAGCCGGTGTCGCTGTACCGGGTGTGTGGGGGGGGCGCGGCCAGCAGCCTGGCGCACCAGGTGGCGGCGAGCGCGGGGCTGGCGCGTCTGCTGCCGCGCGCCGACACTGTCGCAACCTGCGCCAAGGTCACCTCACATACACACCTTGTGACGAACTATCTAGAAAAGGACAAAGATTTGAGCCTACAAGAACATTAATAATTTCAAGCTATAGTGTGACAAACTTATCTGGACCGGTGAGAGGCGCTGCTGTTGCGTTTAGTTCCCACAGAAAATATGTGCACGAGGCAGAGGAAATGACAAAAATTTCTAAAAAATCTGACAAAACCAACAGATAGCAGCGCCTATCCCACCGGACTAGACATCTTTGACTATACAGTGCGACAAGAATCTTGTAATACTTTTTTATATAGACAGAAGGATGATAAGGAGGGTAGATGAACATATACTTTTCATTCCAGAACAATGCATTGCCGCCGCCAGACAACACAGTTTTAGCTAAAATCACACCTGTTATAGAAATAATGAAAAGTCAACTGTTAGCTGAGAACATTTAATGCAGGCGACACACAGCACAGCACAGCACAGCACAGCGCCTCACATCTATATCATAAACTGAATATAAAATATAAAACATTATAAAACAATTCTTACATAAAACATTTGTAACAACTTAATAAATTATTCACAATGGAATGATTTCTTTTAATTCTAATATAAAAATTACATTTACGTTTTATGACACAATAAAAACGACATGGACATGGACAATAAGCAATTAAGTATTTTTCATATTAAAAAAAAAAATATTTTACTACAGTTTGCAGTTAGAGAAAAAAAACCTTGCATAAATTATATTTGATATCTTTAGTATTAATCAAAGATTTATAAATAGTTAATAATGTTGTATAATAGCTTTTTAGGATTAAATCTATTATCAAATTTGTTATCTATTATTTTTTGTAATTTGTAACATATTTTGTTTTTTTTTTAATTTCCATATACTATAATAGATATGTTATCGTTTACACAAAATATAAATTTACCTAAAATATATAAATTTTATTTTATATAATTGTTTTAGTACACAATATACAATTGATATCTTTATGTACACATCAGCAAAATAATGTTAACTAATGTAAGCTACATTTATTGATAATTCGATTTTATAAACAAAACCTTATAATTTCTCTAACATTTACTCTTAATTGTCAACTGACATATTGTTTGCATTTTAACAAAATTTGAGACATTGTATATATTATATAATTCCTTAAATAATATACATATATATGTCATGAGTTACCCAGTTTTTGATAATTACTTTTTTAACAAGATATATTTACGTTTGAAGCGAGACAATATCATGTTATTTTGACACTTTGAGAACATTGTAAGCACAAAAGAACAAAAATAAAATATATTAAATAAATATTAATAACACAACCATATACAAATATGTATATTAAATATAGTATAATGAAATTAACATAAAAGTACATAGTGTAGGAGCTAGTGGTTGTCAGTCTACAGCGACTTCATCTGCTGCATGAGGTCCTCCAGTGAGAGCTCAGCGGCCGCCAGCGCACCTCCGCTCGACTCCGGCGTGCTGCTGTCTCCCGCACCTCCTCCCGCCTCCACCTCCGCCTCCACCTCCGCCTCCACCTCCGCCGCCGCCTCCACACCTATGCTGTACGCCACCTGCACACAACATCACTTTTGATTCGATTACTCCTAATCAGTAAGTACCATGCAGAACATCGAGATCTGTGCAGTCGTTCTGGAGATACCTTCTAACAAACATCCATCCATCAAAATATTCCCATTTATGCTACTAGCTGTTGCCCGTGACGTCGTCCTCGCAAAATTAAACAAGTAGTGTATGTGCCAGACTGTGCTCTACATATAACAAACATCAAATCCAAACATTTGCATTTATAACATTAGTAAGATTAAGATTAAAATTAAATTATAATTATGCTACCTGCACACCCTCTGCAAGCTGCAAATTGGAGGGCGCCTCCTCCTCCGGCGCGTTCTCCTCGATCAGGCTAATACCTGCAGAGTAGAAAAGGTTATGATAACATGATCAGAAAGTTATGAGAAGATTGTCCATAGGTCATTGACCCCTATGCATAGAAAGGCTTTAAACCGTGGTACTTTGTGTCTATTTGATCTTCGCCATTTTAGCGCTGATGGTTGTGGTAGTGGTGGTGAGAATTAGAACTAATTGTGCGTACCCCACTCGTTGTCCTGGTGCAGGGGGGCGGTGTCCTCGCACACCTCGGCCGCCATCTCCACAGGCGGAGGGCGCGCTCGCACCGCCGCCGCGCGCCGCACGCACCACGCCTCCGAGCATGTAGGGTTCGGCTGTATACAATATCAACCTTATTTCCATGCATTAAATTCCTCTATACTCTTATTTTCTTTTGAATACATAATATTCAATACTGATATTAAATTGTATTTACCTTAAGGCTCATCGTTGGGAAGAAGTCAGTCAATGCGCTGTAGCCGAGGTAGTGACTGACATTGCCAAAGCCCAGCAAGTATTTTAGAGCATTTTGAACTGGAAAATACATAATTAACTGTATGAAATTATCTTACTTATATTATAGGTGAATGGATAGATTTTTGCCATAAATGTTCCTATAAAGTCTGGAAGAACACATATGGTACTATATAAGTATTTTTTTATTCCGGACGGACGGAGTCGCGGGCGACAGCTAGTTTAAAATAGTTTCAATAGATAAGTTATCAAGCCGTACCGAGAAATCCAGCGACAATGCCCATAGTGGTGGGCAGGCTGGCTGCGCACACGCCGTCTCGCTTCAGCGTCTTCTCGTCTATGTTTGAAGCCACCACCAGCGGCGGCGCGCACTGCAACAACAATCTTTATAACAAAAACCAGGTACTGGTTAGACATTGTACTCCTAGATCAACAAATCAAAACCAAAAGAAATATTTTTTTGAAACCCCTAAAGTGGTAACATGCAACCGAAATTCTTGAAGTAATTCATCATATCAGACAATCTTTGTTCTCAAAATCTTCGAATCTCTCCCTATCCTTCTGGATTAGGGGCGTGACTTGTGTGTGTGTACTGTACTAATTGCATTTCTATTTAATAATTCTGGTTAATACTTAAGTTCCTTGACTAACGGTCACAAGATTCACGTATTTATCAATTCAAATATAATCAAACTGACCGCAAAGCAGGCAGTCTCTCCGGGCACAATAAATTGTATGTGTCCAGAGACTGCATTCTCACTGACTCCAGACTCAAACCAGTTTTGTCCGAGCTCATTGCACGCTGTGTTGATAGCCATACGCGCCTCGAAGTTGTCTACGCAGCTCAGCACTAGGTCTACCGGACCACTCTTCAAACTGCCCGTACTGCAGATTGAAAAAGAATAACATTAGTTGCAACTAGAAATGAAAACTAAATATTTCAACTCTTCAGCTTTGTTCAGAGCTTGCTCATGATATCTTTAAAACATTGCTTTGTAAAAAAGACAGGTTGTATGAAAAACAAAACTTCACCTAAAGCAAATCTACAAGCAACAAGATCTGTTATGTCAATATATTTTTCAATTCTTTTTCTTGTATAATAAATAGATTTATTTTAATATTAATTTGTTTAATAATAACATAATCATCTATACACAGTGTGTTATAAGTAATATAAAAATTCATACCTTATTGTGTCACAAAACTTCTGAAAGTTATCAACAGTGGTGATGTTATAGTTATGTGCATCTATAGCAACGTCAGGATTGATAGCTTGCAGTGTGGCGGCCGCTGCGGCAACCTTGCTCAGTCCTGCCTGATGCGGCTGGAAGAAAAGCCGATTCATATTCGCCAACTCCACCTTGTCATAGTCAAACAGGATCAACTGGAAACAAAGAATAAGGTTATAACATATTATTGGAATTATATGATAATTTCTGTCTGTTTATCACACTAGTTGTATAGTTTTACATACCTTGCCAATACCACAGCGAGTGAGCATCTCAGCAGTGACACTCCCCACCCCACCAACACCCACCACGGCTACTGATAACTCACGGATCTTCTCATAGTTATCCACAATGCCCATACGCTTCAACGCCATTAGACGACTAAATATAAGAAAGTATACGATGTCAAAATATATACATTACAAAACTTGCGCAATTTTTTATTTAGATTTTAGTCAACCATGTGTTAAATTACGAAATTCAAGAGTTGTACTACAATTTTATTGTTGACATTATCTGACATCAGCAAGAATAAACATTCAAGAAATTCATGCACGAAAACAACCACATTAATATTTTAATACAAAATGTAGTATCCATAATAATAAATACTTCAATTGTAACATACCATATTGAACTATTTTTTTAAAAAACAGCGCATATTTTGTATTAAAGTTTGTTGTAGCCAAGAAGCTATTGGATAAAAGTATACTCTAAAAGCTTCTCCTGATTAAATAATAGAATACGAAAAGAAAATACCTGTAAGGATTTGAATCGACAACTTCTGCAGACATTACTTCGATTTTTTCTCTAACTGGACCTTTAGTTCCTTGTGCGGCGGCTAATTTAGACTCCAACTCTTCAATCTTCTTCTTTAACTCTTCAACAGTAGCCATTTTTAACTTAATATTTAAATTCTGCTCCAAAATATAGGATAACTTGGCAAATCCTCTTTTTGACTTCAGTACCACTTGACAACCTATTTCTGACACTGACACTGCCACGGATAAATAAAAGTACATTTGTGTGTTGCCATTATGAAAACCTGTTAATCTGTTTGTGTATAAATCGGTATTTAATGTTTTATATTTTAATAAGTAAAACCAAGAGTAAAGAGTTTTAAAAACCTGCAATAAAATAAATCATTTAATATTATTAAATTTTAATAAACAATTATACTTGCATATTTACACATTACATAATTTTCAATTTTAGTCAAAATAAGATAAATTCTGGCTCTGAGCTTTCGTGCAAGTTGCAATGTTCCGTAATAATTTTGATGGTAACGCTTTTCTTTGCATTTAATGTCACAGTATTACGTATGATGTTAATGAAACCATATCAAACTATAAAACCTTAATACTCCAATAAATCTTTTTCAAGAATCACATCCCAGATTTCTGATCGAGGCCACGTGCACAAGGGCGACCGAGTTGCGGTGAATAACCGCATTCAATAACAAGATTGTAGGCTGATACACTTCACATTCGATGTAAGCGTGAGTTTCTACTGCTGTACACCCATCCAAAGACGTCATAAAATGACTTCATTATTATCTTTGACAAGATAGAAACAACATTACATTTTTGTACAGTTGATACTACATGCAGTGGAATCTCACTATAACATGACGAAGTAGCGATATTTGAAAAAATGTTTTTTATTGTATTAATTATCTTTACATGTCATCTCAAATACTTGTAACGAATTAATTACTTTTTTAATGGCATGTTAATTTAGTATATTCCTGACGATAAATACATAGATTATTAGACCTGTCTACAGTTTCATAATGAAGATAGAACTATGCGTTCATGATTATATAAATATGGAGCTAGAGAGAAGAGTAACGTTTCTGTCTGCCTAATTTTAAAAACTTGAAAGTATATTTCTTAATCCATACAAAAACACCTCTCTCTCTCTCTGACAAACTAATTTTTATACAATCACGATAAACTTAATCCGCGTGTCAATTAATATATGACTAACATTGGGTTTCTGAAGTATACTTGGTGGGTATTTGTCGTGGTATATACTCTTGGCTACAAAGTTTCGAGTTAGTTACTAATCTGTTAAGTAGTATTTATACCACGATTAGGGAATCCTTATAATGAACCGCAGGGGGCTTCAAAAATATTTCGAAAACGACTTTAGTGCCGTCGCGACTTTTGTTTGAGCTGGTGGTGAGGCGAAGAACCAGTTTTAATGCATTTACTTGATGCCGTTCAAAAATATATTTTTTCCGTGATGTGGGACATGATTTTATAAAGTTAATTATTTGTGAAGCGCACAGGTGAGGATATTTCTTTTTCATTTATATTATTATTTCAAAATTAAAAACTGGTTTTAATTTATATACAAATTATTTTATAATCCCCAAATATGGTCAATGATATCGTATACCTATGTATCTCATCTAGAGCACGCATTTTTGAACACTCCACAACAGCTCCAAAACAGCTCCACAAGGAAAATGTTCATAATAGTTAGAACTACAGAGCTTAAAGGAAAGCTAAAAGCACCTTAGTTAGATGGTAATCTATTCAAATCCAGAAGAATAACAAGATTTTTTTTTAAATTGATAAAGAATTGAAGACGAGCATGTAAAACCCTAAGTTAAATCACGTCTGTGGCTTTTATTATTTTTCTGACGTGTAAGTTCATCTTCGCGGGCATCGCTAAAAGACTGGTCACAACATCCTTTCAACTTCTCTCGCTGTCCGTAGTAATAAAGTTGTTAAATACCGTTGTATAAGGTTTAACAATTAACGTTTTAAACAGCTTGCTTCCAAATAACAAGGAAAATAAAAGTTTTATGGTATGTTGCTAGATGTATCTATATGAAGTTCCATTACATTGAAAATAAAATCACACCATCTTTCGTCTAACTCACAATATAGTTACTAGTTAGAAGAAAGTGTATCCAAAAGAAATGGATGGCCGCAAGAAAACCACAATGCAGACGTATATGCAGAACTCACTAGAACAGAGTCGAGTTTAAAGTCTATTCGTGCTTGCTATGTAAATTTTTGTTTTTGAGGCTAGCAACACCGAACGATCGGATGCTTTTGCCTTACCGTTGCTACTTTAACTGTGATCTCTTGTGCCCAAACACCAGTTCAAAATATTTTTATTGTTTTTCAAAGAAAAAGAACAAGAAGATGTAATAGAAATCCACGATAACGTGATCAAATCTTTCCTATTACAGATCCAAGGCGAGTACAAAATGTAAAGGTTAACAACGTCTTTAGAATTTTAAATTTGATTTTTAAAATCGATACTTAAAAACGGAAAAATACACCTACATTTTACATATTTAAATAATTGTCCACGCGCTAAGGGCCTTCTCACACAATCTAATGATAAAGCAATTTATGTTAAGTAAGTTATAACAGGTTATAAAAATTCCTATATCGACATATTAACATATATTACACAACGATATGAAATAATTTTTCACAGAGTATATTGAAAATAATTTGTGTTTTAATAATTATTTAATCTTTTGTAAGATTCTGTATGCTAGAAAAACTATCACAATCGCGTGGCCATCTACATTCAGTTTTAGAATTAATATATTAATTGCAGAAGCGTTGCCTACCTTTAATCAGGGGATCCGACGGTCAAAAAAGGGATATTACTCTTTCTTATGCGTCCCCTACACCTCCAAATCCCCTTCCCATCATTTCCTTATATCAAAAGGATGGGAATGGCACGGGGACTAATAGAACTTCGGCACGCGCACTCATCAGACACGCCTGTCTTCTGTGTTGTCGTGGTATTTCACCGCTGGACACGGCCCATTCTTACACCCAACAAATATTGTTGTTGTGATTTAGAATCTCTCTATTTGAAACCTTACAATTATTTAGTTCTTGGCCTAATCGACATTCTACAAAAACGTATTTTAAGATGTACCTATTTATCTTTTAGCCAAACTAGTCGAGTTAGTTTTGCTGCGGCGATTTTTACCTTTTACTCGTTAGCCGGGTCTTTTAACCGGATGTCATAGCAACTTTAATATCTCAAGTCATTTTAATATAACAAGTATTTACTTAATCATTAATTAGATTTTAGTGTAATTAATCAGAATATTGTGGTGCCTCGAGTGGAAGTGAGCATAGTTAGTTAGGAAGATGTAGTTAGTTCTGTTAGAGACGCCGGGCGGCACGCGCGTCTGCCGGTCACGTGACAAAAAGCACGAGTCTACGACAACGAATTATTCAAATCGGTTTTTTTATAACCAATAAATTATCAACATATAAAATATTTCAATAGTCGTGGAAACATAGTAAAGTGAGTACATTAATACATTTGTCGTCTTTTATTTGAATAAATATTTATAATCAGCCAGAATTATTGAAATTCAAAAAGTATTTTTTATCTAACATAAAAAATATAAATCTCTATCAAAAACTTTTAAATATAAAGTCTGTGTTTTGTTTTTAATAGAATAGAATTTCTTATCCAATTGGAAAATATCTAAAAATTGCTATGGTAATTTTTATTCTTATTTAATTTAATAAGGGTTGTTTATGTAAATAAAAAACCTCGTTAGAGGATCAGAGTAAATCTTTAATAGATAAGCAATTTCCTGGGGGAAAGCAAGCTTAATAGCCTAATGAGCTCCTAAAATGGCCTCAGTGGCCATTCCAACGCTACTGTAGGAGTCCCGGAATATCGAAAATAACGAATTTAGACCAAATAAGGTCAATATTAACAAAAGACCTATTTTAATTATTTTTGACCTCATGTGTGTACGTCTGTATATATCACATAATAATTCTCACTTCCCTCTTCTTAAAAAAGACCAATCGCGTATCGGAAACAAATATCCATTTCAAAAAAAAAAATTACAAAATATGACGTAAGAATGAGTTTTGTCCCCCTCCCCTCTAAGATAAGAGCATATAGACATTTTCTTGGCCCCCCCACTGCCTACTCTTGCTGTCAATAAATGCTTTTGGCCAAATTAGAATTTAAAGGCTCCACCAGGTTCGGGCGTAATAAAATAAAATTAACTCAAGCCAGTACTTTTAGCAATTATTTAAAAGTTGTTTTTTTAATCTATGTTCATACATATAAGCTGTTGCTTTAGACTGTTCGCGTAGAATAAAAACAAACCGAACTACGAGTATTAGGAGCCTAACTGAAAATTATCTATGTTCCAAATTTATCGTAGTTTAGATCTGTTCAGCCGTTCTGTAGTTACGTGGTAAATAAAATCTATCCATCCGTCCATCCGAAATAAAGTTAATGAAATGTATAATATTAGCAACACAAGATTCTGATTATGTGTCCTAAAAAATGTAAACATGTAGTTGCAAGTAATTTGATTTGGTATACTTAAATCACTTAAAAATTATTTGTAACGTAATTTCACAATATCATAACAGGTTTTTGAGATTTCTCAACGTTTCCGAAGGGCCCTATAGCCACTTCAAAAACTTGTTTAAAAGTGTTTTACGGCTTTTATGTATAAATTAATTAGATATGTGTCTTAAATGACGCAAAGCGTCATTGTAACTGATTGTCAATGAGAAACAAAAAAAATGTAGCTTAAGTTATTCTCGCATACATCAGTTGACTCTAAATTCCAGTAAAATCTTCGAAAATTCCCGTCAAATTGTTCCAGCCGTTTCTGAGATACCCGTAACCGCGAATTTGTGAACAGACAGGCAGAAAGATGAAAATTAAAATAAAACATTTTTTGTAACAAGCATCAAAAAAACATTTATTTTTTCCGGGTTCCGTAAATCGAAAGGATAAAAACAGAACCCTTATAGGATCACTTTGTTGTCCGTCCGTCTATCTGTCAAGGCCCTTTTTTTATAAATAAAAATCTTTGAATTTTGGATATGTATTTAAAAACATATATATCCAGTTAAGTAATTGATTGTTGCACAACTCTATTATAAAATGTTGAAAAGATGTGAGTTTTATTCGTTAAATTAATGTGGATTTTCACTGCCGAAGCATTTGTAGCAAAATATATAGACATCCCTCTCAATCTCTTTGAAAAAATAAAGACAATAAAATGTTTTATAATATTTTATCGGCTGTAGAAACTCGTGGTAAAAGCAATTACTTGTAAATATTTTAGTGATATTTATCAATTTAATAATGTACTTTTACAATTTAATAGATTTATTGCATTTATAAATTTTCCTAACAGATAAGAAACGAGACAATGAAAAAATCTTCACACTGAGTTCAATAGACAAATTTGACTTCTATAATAAAAAAAACCTTAATAGAATTTCTTGAGTAATATCGATTTATTTCTTAACTAGACGTTTTATATTATTGTTTTGTGATTTATTTGTTTAAATATATCGTTTTTATTGCAGCAATATAGAATATAATGAAATAACACATCAATGGTTTCTCGAATTTTAACACAATAAGTAAAGATAATTCTTTTACTCTTGCTTCTAATGTTATGTTGTGAATTTGAGATTATAGTTAATAAACGTAGAGACGTAGAGTCTGTTGAGTTCACTTGTTTATTCTTCAAACAGCTCTCCTTTCAAAATATCCTTCAATTTAATTGTGTTTTGTAATCATCGTCAGCCAGTTATACGTCCCCACTGAGGGGCTCAGAGCCGACCCTAAGTATGATAGTCAACCACGGTGACCCACTGAGGTTTGGTAGACTTTACACAGATTCTGAATTTCTTTGCCGAAATATTCATGTTGTATCAAGAAGTTTGACTTCATCGTAAAAATGTCGGATAAATGTACACATGTAAACCAAAAATCGAAAAACACATTGGTACAATGCGGGCTTCAAACGCAAGACCTGCAGATTACAAGTCAAATGAGTCACAGATGCTCCGTGTTGTGTGTGATGTGACGTACTAATGATAAAAAAAACCTTTAATTAAACTAAGTCTTTTATTTGGTTTGAACCATTAGTGAAATCACATTTTAAATGTACAATTAATAAAAAAATATTTGTTACACATAAAAAAGTTTTTTTCTAATAAGTGACACGTTCACTAACGAATGCTCGTGGGAAATATTTATGTATTATTAATTGCTTGCACCGTTTAAATACAAATACAATAATAAGGTCAAGCACCTCAGATTGTTTTGGTTTTTTGACTGTGAATGAACCTGCTCTGTCGTGCTGTACAACAAGCAACCAACTATTGCCATCCCAAAAAATACAAAAAAATAAATTGTAATTCCACATGACCGAAGTGAAGTTGGCTACTCTGGGTAGCGCATGTACACTCGCTAAGAAAATGTTTTTGTGACGCACACCGACATTTAGCTTGTTTTATGATTGTTAACGAACAGAGTCAATAAAGGCATATCAATTAAATTATCAATAAATCTATATCAAATTTAAAAGAATTTTTGTTAATTTTTCCAGTCCATTTAATTATTTCTACATTAAAAATAATTCCAATACTGAATGTAATAAAAATAAAGAGTAATTTAGAGGTAATAGTATAAATTAGCGTTTTGTTTGCGACAGAGGATCAAGGGTTGAAGGAGCATGCAGCGCACGCCGAGCACGTCGGAGCGCACGCCGCTCGTGCAGCCCGCATACGTGTTCGAGTCCAGCATATCACGCAGCTACCAGAAGCGCCTGCGCAACTTTCAATGCTTCGTCTGCATTGTCCTAATGTAAGTACACAACTCACGTAGTAAAATAGCCAGCACTTGTATTCTTATTTCCCTTGCCAGCCCTTGTATTAACATCAGATTAATTTATCTATTACCCTTGAAATATAAACCCTGTGAAAATTCTGACTTCTTTTGCAGTTTTGTACAATCGCGCTGCCAACAATTGTTATTAAGAAAGTTAACTCCGTATGTGTAGTTAAGTCAGTCATTTTAAAAATTTCCTGGAATTTGTCTATATGTTTAAAAAAAATTCGTTTGTGAAAATATAAAGTTAAAAAAATACTAACACTTTTATTTGTGACAGTACAGACGATATTGAGATGAGATTACAATTACCCCTAGGAGTTATATTTTAGGATGAATAGATGGAGTAACTCTTAACATATCCAGTGACGTAAAAACATCATATCATTTATAAATCGATTAAATTGTACTTATTAAATTAAAGTGATGCGCGTGCCATTAATGGAGCTAAGAAGTTAAGATTTGTCTTATCTTATGTTTAAAATATAAATAAAATTAACATAAACAATTTTAATGGTAAACAGTTAATTTTTTGTTTAAAAAAAATGTTGATGTTTCCTGTCCTATTAGATAGATAGGTATCATTAACGATCAAGATAAAGATTATCGTCAACAAATTATAATGTACCAACTATTGCCCGCGACTACGTCTGCGTAAAATTGAATTTATAATGTTTCTTCAGATCCCAAGATCTAAAAAAATACGCGCACGCTGAAGCAAAACCTTTTGCACTATCCAACCGTTTCCGAGATTTTCCAGAACCAACGCAAATTTAATTTTATATAAAGACCGGCACGAGCTGGACGTCCATCTTAATAATTTGTGAACATCAAAAAACATCAAACCATTTTAAATAATAAATTATAGCAGTAAAATTTTACCATACTGCTTTGTAATTCAAATTAAGGATTGAATAAATGTTGCTTAATTAATTAAATTAGAACTTTTGCTACCGCACATGGATGTAATATAGAAAAAAATAGTAAACACGATGTAATTGCGTTGCTGATAATGAAAAAGCAATTTTTAAAATTTTTGTCTGTCTGTCCGCAAAGAAGAACAAACGGGGTTCCGGGGAATCAGAAACAATTGGACCGATTTTGCCAAGAAGGCAGCTGATGTCCGCGAGAATATTATTGACTTTTTTTTCTGCGGTAACCAAGTCGCGGACGAACGGTAGTACCTAAATAATCTATTAGTGAACATGCGTCATATAAAACTAGCCTAAAGTTAAAACAACCTGAATTAATTCATAAAATGCATTTTAGATTAAATTAAAGTTGTAAGTTAATAAAGTGCATTGGGATGATAATAACTAAATATTCCATTCCGTTAAGTAAACAACACACGACTTGTATTTTTTAACTTTTACTTTTGCATTTAGTTTCGTAATCTGAACTTGTTTACATTTACATTTTGACCTTCAAAATAATACGTTAAAAATGAAATAAAATTTTTAAATAAAACTTAAAGAAGATAGTTATGTTTATTCTACTACTACATAAAAAAATTCTTAATGGATAAAATCACCGTCGCACTGCCGCCGAACCGTCGCCGAACCGCCGAGACAATGTGGAATTGCTCTAAGGCGAAACCAAACACTAACATTCTTTGTATTTACCAGTGTGCTGCTATCTGTGACGCTGCTGGTCACTGTGGGCTACAACCTGGGCTTGGAGACCAGCGCATTGGAAAATGAACAGGCCAGCGATGACAACACGACCCTGCCACCCACACTACTGCCTCTTCTCACAATGACATGGCCATTATCAGGTATAACTTCAGGCACCTAAACACTAATTTGTTCAGTGCCATACAAACATATTGGCGGTTTTTCTTTTATAATGTCTATTTTATGTTGCTCACAACTCCGTCCTCGCGGAATTATAAAACTTAATAAGTAGCCTATGCCTTCTAGAGACTATGTTCTATATCAAATTTCATTAAGATATGTTATGCCGTTCAGGAGATACCTTCTAGCAAACATCCATCCACCCATCTAAATTTTTCCATTATTATTATATTAACGGTTGGCCTCGACTTGCTCAGCGCAGAGTTTATAAAAGTAGCCTGTGGTGTGCCTGTGTATGTACATCAGGTATTTTCTCATCGAAATCGGTCCAATTCCTGAGATGACCCGGAACTAACGAACTGTCAGACAGATAGATAGACGGACAAAATTTGAAATATTGATTTTTCGTTACTAGCAACTCAAATATACATCTATTGTACGAAATAAGATGTTTATTGCAGTGTCTGTATGTAACAGGCACTCGAATTTTGTGACTATGTATACATTATGACACATTTAACACTTCCTTGTTTTCTGCTTTTTTTTCTATTTAATCACAACATCGTATTTAAATTTATTTATAGATTTTGATTTAAATTTTTCTGATTGTGGCCTCTGATTGTATATTGACGTCAATGCTAATTTCTCGAATAATCTCACTAAAATGCCTAATTCTAAATAAAAATTATGTACCCAAGTATAAATATATTCAAAAATCTTTAAAAAAATTAACATAACTCTGACGTAGAAAGTTTCATAATCTTTATATATATATAATTCTTATGTGAGTGTGTCTGTCAGTGAACTTCTCTCAAACGACTGGACCGATTTTGATGAAATTTTTTGTGTGTGTTCAAGGGGATCTGGGAATGGTTTAGATTCACAATTTTCATCAAATATTAACTTCATATTAATTTATTCAAATTAAAGACGTGTAGACAGGACAACGTCTGTCGGGTCCGCTAGTATTTCTATATGTTTGTGTTAGGTATATCTGACATAGAATAAAGATATGTCTGTTTATATATTCAATGAGAGAACACAGTCATTTTAATACAAGTAATTCTATTATAAAAATTCTTATCTTTTTCATTCATTGAATTTATCCTCACTCGCTGTTAACACAACGCACAAGACACAAAATACAATACTTATTAAAAAAAATAACAAATGGATATTCAGATAATGTACATCTAGATAATTTTATTCCAAAATAATTTAAAAAAACTTCTATGTCGTTACATAAAAATTAACACTATTAAATAAAACATCAACAAATCGTTAATATTACATTAAAAATTATAAATTCTAAAAACAAGTGTAGTTAAAAACACAAAAAAAAATAATAAAAGAGAACGCAGATAGAATTAAATTAATATAGAGAAAATGTATATATTTACATTGGTTAAATTTTAAGCATTCAAAAAAAGCTACAAAGGACAATTTTGATTTTTGTACCGTGAAGTTGTTCAGAACCAAAAAAACTCTGCATTAGGCAGAGGCCTTGAATAAAAGATAAACAAAAAAAATACAAATTACGCATTAACGCCTCCACTTTACGTCCAGTATTTGTTCTATCGTATGACACATTTTTTTTAATTTATTAATTTAAATAGCCGACACGCGCTAAAAACTGGTTGTGTCGACCTTCTTGTTACATGTCAAAAAAAATCCTCGTGAATAAGAAAAAGAATCCTAATTGATATAAAATCTTTCTAGATGTAAAAAAAAAGGTTTTAATGGTTACATTTTTTTTAGTAGAAGCTCAATGAACCGTAAATTCATAGCAAGCACTATTTCGTCCGTCAACTTTATTTAAATACGACAGTTTTTTGTGACCAATTTTTTGTTGTCAAATGAAATGGATTTTTAAGCGACATTTCTTTTCAATATTACATAGCTAATAATGTCTTTACGATATAGCACAATATTTTATTCAATTTAAGTGTGTTTCGCAATTCATATATGTCACTAGGGATTGAAAGAAACATAATTTTAACTTGCACTTTTAGCACTGATGACAAACAAATGATTACAGGAAAGCCATCGGCAGCATGGATGAACGAGCATCCAAGCAGCGAGGCCGTGGCTTCAGCTGTGACCGCTGGACAGGAGGCACTCGCAGCCCGGAGAAAGCTGGAGTCCGTGCTGGTGCCCCTGTCCATGGACACGCCAGCAGCGCGGGCACAGCGCGCAGCTGCCACCTCCGCCGCCGTCAAGCCGTTAGCAGAGGCCGCATTTGCTGCCGAACACGCCACCAGGGTCCTTGCCAATGGGTACGTACATACACTTCCCACTTAGGATTAATCCCTTAGTGTTACGCAATTGATCATTTTTACATTTTCAAAATCAATTTTAATATAATTATAAAGCAATCCTTTAATGTAATTATTATACAAAATTAACTTTATCTAATTATTTACATGAAATAAGTATTAAACATGTTAATAACAATATATTTTGGAAATCCAAGCGGAATGATAATTTCTACAGAGATCAGTTTTAAAAATGATGTAGGTATATAAATGAACAGACAATGTTCCAATTCTAGGTTATTAGTGCACATCGACAAACTTCCTTTACATTACCTCAATTAGAGATCACAATTAGAACATGAAGATCACATGAGCACATGAACACAGAGCAAATGTCGATATTAGATACGAGATTAGCTCTTTTTCACATACTAAGATGATCAATTTCAAAACTTTTAAAAACAAAAATCTAACTGCGAGTAACATTTTATGCATGAAAATATTATTCATTTAATTTTTTTTAATTTAGACTATTACTTAAGTATCTTTATTTAAAGTTTGCGTGATTCGTTTTAAAATATATTGTTAATCTTAAGTCAAGCAATTCTCAAGTTACAGTTAAGAAGCAGTAAGAGAGCTGCAGCTACTTAATCTTGTTAGACTTAACCGCTTTCTTGTAAGCTGCTTACTTAGTATATGTGTTTCCTTATGTCTTTAAACATATTCATTTTTAAAACACCTCATACATATCCACGTATCTGTCAGAATGTTGTATAGTTTTTTAAAAAGGAAATAAAAATATGAACACATTTTAATAAGCGGCCGCGACTTCGTCACCAATTAAAGAATGTTTGAACAATACAACAATGAAAATTATCTTTTGAAATGAACTTTATTAGTGAACTTATTTTCCTTTATCAAAGCTTTACTTTCATACTAAATGAATGTTATCTTACTAATATTATAAATGAGGGATCGATGGATGTTTCTTAGACGGTATCACAAGAAAGAGATCAATACGTCTCGCTCAAATTTGGTATAGATGTAGAAAACATAGATTGGAAGAACACATAGGCTATTTATTGAGTTTTTTTTAATTTCGCGGACCGAGTCGCGGGCGACAGCTAGTTTTAACCAAAGTATACAGTACGCTACTGGTATGTGAGAAATATTGGTTATACACCACGAATATCATATTACATGATCTCACAATGTAACCCTAACCTATAATACTGCGGTCTCAAGCAATTCACACACGAATGAACAATCAAATTGACAAAGACGGCTAAATATTGTTTGTTCAAGACTAGCTGCTGCCCGCGATATCGTCCACGCGAAATTTAAAAAACTTAATTAGTAACCTTCCAGACTATTTTCTATATGTATGTCAAATTTCTACGAGGTCCGTTCAGCCGTTCTGGAGATAACTTCAAACAAACATCCATCCATCTAAACATTCGCATTTATAATATTAGTAAGATAATTTTAAATACAATCGATTTAAGAATAAAGAATTCTTTCTATAAGTATGGATGTTCTTTTGATGTTCTCTTTGTCTATCTATCTCTATAGCTTTGAAGAGTAATCTTCACATAGTGAGGGACTTCATTACTCATAACATAATATAAAAGTGCAAACAACAGTCATATGTTGGTTTGTGTATTGTTCACTAAGGACTGAGGACTCGCAGTAATGAGCTTAGCTTTCTTGCTGTGTTGAATATGTGAGAAGTTATAACATGTAGGGTCTTATAAAACAATAAGACAATATTTCAAATACATTTTTATCCCAGTTTAAAAAGGAGGTTATCAATTCGTCTTATTTTCTTTTTTTATGTGCATTACCGCGTAACTCCGTCCCTGGTGCTTCGATTTTGATTTTTTTTTTGATCGAAAGGTTTTTAGCTTAAATATACGTCAATCTTTATACCATGACAATAATGCATGACGCGGATTTTTGACAATTTGACAAATATGACAAATGAGTAACCTTGCGAAATGACTTCTTGACCAGTAAATAAATAATTGCCGTTGAAAGGGTTAAAACACATGTTCGACTAAACAATGTCTAACTATATTTTATTCAGGTAGTTTCTAATATTTAATGGACTAAAATACAATATCAGGAAATGAGTTGCCTTACTCGGCGATTGTTAGATTAGGTTAAGTAGATTTAGTATTGGGCAATGCGGTGGCGAGTGGCGATAGAGTCGACGTGTGAAACCAAATAGTACGGTAAGCCGAGACCGCGTCTGGCTTCGTCTCCGATGCCGCTGTCGCTATCGAACTACACCGAAATATGAGACACTTTTAATCCTAATATATTATAGAACTTTATAGATTATAGTCTTTTAATCGTTAAACATTGTCTGAATGAATAATTTCCATGTTGGTAGTACCGTTTTCAGTTACTTTATATTACACACTTTCTACTCATAACATTTATAGAAATTCTCCAATGTTTGTATTTCAGTACGGACCCTTCAATGAGAGAGGGTGGCGTTGGCGTAGGCCTCGCTACCAACGGGTCGTTTGCGGAGCCCGCCTACTGCAGACCTCCTACTGAGCCTTGCGTGATGTCCAAGTACCGCACACTAGATGGCACATGTAACAATCTCAACAATCCTCTCACTTGGGGCGTCTCAAATACACCGTTCAGAAGAGTACTTCCGCCTGATTACGGAGATGGTGAGGATTTATTTTTATTCAATCTACACTATTGCTATTATATTTGCGCAGGCGTTAATGAAATTGGATCCTCAATAATACTAGCTGCTGTTATCAAGAATGATGAGATCATGAGTTTGTTGTTCCTCAGGGATCAGTTCCCCTCGCAAGGGTGTGGGCGGCGCGGAGCTGCCGAGTGCTCGCGATGTGAGTGTGACGGTGCACCGGCCGAGCTACGCACACGACACCACATTCACGGTGATGCTGGCGGTGTGGGGACAGTTCGTCGACCATGACATCACCGCCACTGCACTCAGCAAGGGTCAGTATCTCACTCGTAGTATAGGAAACAAAAAAAAACAAATGATTCTTAGAACAGAGAGAGAGAACTTATGCCCAGAATATGTCTTTTTTATGTTCTTTAATGAAGTTTTCTCTGTAACTATCTAGGTGAGAACAGCAGTGCACTGTCGTGCTGTGCGCCGGACGCCGAGCTGACCCACCCGGAGTGCTTCCCGGTGCGGCTGGACGTGGAGGACCCCTTCTACCAGGACTACAACCTCACCTGCATGGAGTTCGTCAGGTCCGCACCCGCACCCACCTGCCATTTTGGTAAGACTAAAACTTCGCGCAAGAAAACGATCAATTCTTAAAATTTTCTGAACAGACGTCACGATCATACAACTTATAAAAGGCAGTTTCAAGTCTAGGAATGCTTCAGTTATCAGGCGATCCTTTGGTGTCCAGGTGTAAGACAGCAGTTGAACCAGGCGACAGCGTTCATCGACGCGTCCACAGTGTACAGCTTCACGGAGTCCAAGGCGACGCAGCTGCGGCTGGGCGTCGCGGGACAACTCAAGATGCTCAAGATCGGACCCTGGGAACTGCTGCCTCCCTCCACGGATCCCAACGACGGCTGCAACACTGTCGAGATGACTGCAAAGGGACGATATTGCTTCGAGTCGGGTCAGTATATATGAGGTGACCAAATCGTAGAATTGATCACGTTACAACGCGGTATATTTTGCGCTCGACCAGGTTACTTACATATTATAGCGAATTAATTCGTTTTGTAACTTTTAAAAATTCAATTTATTACAAAGAAATATAGATGATTCGTCGACTTAATTTTTGAAGTCTGGTAGAGAGGTGGCTCCAGTCGCAGTCACAATGTGACAGCAGTTAAGATAGAGTGACTACTTTTGGCAGGCGACGACAGAGCGAACGAGAACCTGCACCTGACGACGATGCACCTGGTGTGGGCGCGACAACACAACCGCGTGGCGAGCTCGCTGGCCACCCTCAACCCCGCCTGGGACGACACCACCCTCTACCACGAGGCGCGCCGCATCCTCGCCGCCCAGATGCAGCACATCACGTACGCAGAGTTCCTGCCCGCTGTGCTCGGTAACTCTGCTCACACCAAATTACTTGCTAGATACATATCATCTTCACACTTTGCTAGCCTCTGTCAAATTTTTACAAGGTTCCAAATATGTACGTTCTTACATTTCTTTATTAAATTGTGAATCTTTACCATTTTTCTGCTATCACAAAACTCCGCAGGGTGTTACCTGGACTATGCAAAACTTCTGTAAAGGTCCTGGGATTTGGGAACCGATTTAAATAACCGACTTGTTAACTTCAACTAAGAAGATTCTCCTTTCTTGTCTCGTATAGACTTGTAAAATTATATTCAGATTTTCTTCTATACTTAGTCCATTTCATTCAACAATGGCATATGTATATTGTAACCTTAACGCTACCTCAGGTATGGACGTGATGTGGGCGCTGAACCTGACCCTGCAGACGGAGGGGTACACCAGCGCATACGACCCCTCAATGGACCCCTCCATCGCCAACCACTTCTCCGCCGCCGCTTTCAGATTTGCTCACACATTGCTGCCGGTAAGATTATATACACAAACAGACTGACTAAATCATTAAATATGTATTTTATATGACTCGCTTATATAAAAACGTGGTAATCTTTTTTAATTGGTTTATAAATGTTGTCTTTATTAAGAACGCACGTTACATTTAGAACACGTACGTACATGTTATGATTTCTCATGACGAAAAAACTAATTCGGATTCGTTAGGAATGCTATTAGCGGTTATTCTTATATACAACGTTACATTGGCACGAAGTCAACTCGACGCGCTTCACTCTCGAGACACAAATAATATTTGTAAACATATACAGACAGTCTTATTTGTAAGGAAAGTAATAAATTATGTATTGTGTCACGTTCAACAAACATGTCTCCTACACTGTACACAATTGATGCAGATATTATTTTTAAACATGCAACTGCTTTACGATAACCTTATGAACTTGCGCTCTACTGCGCACTCACACAGGACATGCACGGAATAACATTTCATCAGATATTTTCATATCCTACCAACATTTGTGCAGCATCTATCCTATGTTACTGTTTACATTTACCTGATGAGGGAACAGTTACTTCCATATATCGAATGAGTGATGAAGTGGCTGGTGCAGGGTCTGATCCGGAACGTGGACGCGGCGAACGGCACAGTGAACTACGTGCACCTGCACGAGATGTTGTTCAACCCGTACGCGCTGTACCTCGCCCGCGGCGCCACCTCCTCCGTCTCCTCCGCCATCAACACGCCCGTCCACAGTGTCGACCCTCACGTCACCACTGAGGTAACTGCAGCTCCAGCTGCACCATGTTGTCACCGACTGATCTATTATTCCCACTGATGAATTCAGGAAACAATATTTAAAGTAATAAACTATAATGTTTTGCCAGATTCATTTCAATATTTTATTTTGTTCGTTCCCAGCTCAGCAACCACTTATTCGAGCGTCCATTAGTAGTAAACATATCCTCGGTGCCGGTGAAGAAGCCCGGCCCCTGCGGCCTGGACCTCATCTCGCTGAACATCCAGCGCGGTCGGGACCACGGCCTGCCCTCCTACCCCGCCTGGAGGGAGCACTGCGGTCTCTCCAGACCGAAGACCTTTGAAGACCTCAACGAGATATTCGATGAATTGTCACTCAGTCGGATTTGCAAGATTTATAAGTAATTTTGCATTTTATTGTAAATTTTATAGAGTCCTTCGCCATTTCGACCCAGTGCTAAACTTGGAGCTCCCTCAGATGTTATCCAACGACTAGACCTCGACCACTCGGCCCTCCCAAGCATGTACTCAATAGACGATAATAGATAATTCCCAATATATTGATGATGATCTTGTAATGTAAACTGAGTGTAAATGAGGACTGTATGATGTAGCAATGTGGACGACATCGACCTGTACACGGGCGCGCTGGCGGAGCAGCCGCACGGCCGGCTCCTCGGACCTACCCTGACTTGTCTGCTGGCTGACCAGTTCTTAAGGCTCAAGATCGGCGACCGCTTCTGGTACGAGACCGACGACCCACAAGTCTCCTTCACTATGGGTAAGTTATCGCTTTGTCGAATAGCAGCATATAATTCCTCGTTATAAATTTATTTAAATAATAACTATACGCTTAAAAATTAACGTTAAATACCGTTATTATTATCTTTAGTTTTTCTTTGTGAATACGAAGGTTTTTGAAAAATTCTATTTTTAGAACAACTGCAAGAAATTAGGAAAACGACACTCGGAAGTGTTATCTGCGCGAATGAAGACTTGCTAGACCAGGCTCAGCCGAGAGTGATGGAGGCCCCGAGCGCCACCAACCCGCTGGTCGACTGCAAGGAACTACCGCAACCTGACTTCACACCTTGGAAAGTACCTGGACCCGTTTTGCCTGCTCCTAAAAAACCCTCAAAGAAAGACAAAAAAATAAAACCAAAAAAGTTATTGTAGTAAGATAATTTTATAATAAATTCCTGTTCTTTATCAGTTACGTAATTTATAAATGTTTTTATCATTTTCATTATTCCCTAAAGTGCCTTTTTCTATCTATACCGAAATAAATAAGCTGACTAAACTAGTTAAGTGGAAATAGACATTAAATGATGCGGGTTGAAAATGCTACATATAAAATAACCTACAAACTGCCTGTGATTGTAACATAATCGCTATAAGCCACTCTTGTATGTACCTAAACCTGTCTCAAGTTGTTACAAATACAACAGACGTTGAATTTTGAACCTTCATATTTGAGCGCCATTTAAAATATTGAATATCCTGTAAATATATCAATAAATAAAAGCACGGCTTGTATTCTATGGTAAATTAGCTGCATTTAATATTGTTAATAAGATATTATTTACACAGAAAAAAATTTATACCGAAATATCATTTCTTAATCTTACCTTTATTGCATCAGATGTTCGTTTTTATCATTTTTCATATTTCACGATAGATTATAAATTTTTGTATTATTATATTTTATTGATGTGAATGCAATCTGTGCCAAAACAATAACGTTATCTATAAGCGGCTATTTTTAGCAGCAGCTAATTTTAATTATAAAATAACGTAATGCAACTAGTTATTATAACGTTTTAAAATAACAGTTATTTTATTTCTGACAGTGATTTTAAGCGATTTAATGTTTTACTTATTTTTAGAAATAATTATAATTATATTAAATTTAGAGCCAGTTTGTTTGTGCTGTGATTTGCTTTGTTACCTTTGTGCATTTAGATTAGGAAGAATTTATTTGCTGTTTCTTTTGTAGTTGAAAGTTGCTTTTATAATGGCTTTTACAATAGTGTGTTTTGGCTTTAGTTGCATTTGACATTTTTTAATTAATGTTACATGAGATATAAATGAATGTTTTGAATTTTGTACGCTTTATTACCTATATCTTAGAATACTTTATAAAATATCTACGCTTACATTTTCATTACGAAATAAATTAAAAAGTTTGTCGCGCTCTGTATAAAAATGTTTAATTCAATTCAAATAAGATGAATATTGTGAATTTTAATAAATATGTTTGATTATTATAACGTTTTATTTGATAAGCTATCCTACCGAAATATTTTGGATTTTTGGACTGATCAACGAGACAATTGCTTAAAGCCAATTCATATTATTACCTGGCTCTTTATGAAACTTAATCAATTTGGATAACGACATAAACAAAATATAGAGTATCGCACAAAGTTCAGATTGTCTATGCCACATCAGAGTAAGTATACACTTAGTCCGGGGAAAAACGTTATACGCATACGTATCTCATAAAAGAGTTTGCTGTTGTTTTTGTTTACAAGGTCGCTCAGATTTCAATGAATCATTGCGAAAAATGTTTTTTTAATATTGTATATTATTTAAGTGAACACTCTTAAAAATATCCTCTCTCTTCTTAATAGGTTATTTATGGTCAACTTTAATAACTTTATTAAATTATTTAAACAATAAAATATGCATAAAAATACATTTTTAATCTGGATCAAAATGTTTTTTTTATGGTTGAAAATATTCTAAGTGTCAGACAAGTGGACGAGTGTGAGTCAGAAAAATTTTAACATTTTTATTTGGCTATCTGTGGGAAGCCGTCGGCCTTGCTAACTGAATCGAGTCCTACTGTTAAATAAACAATATCTATGTCAAGTCTTCAAACAAATCAATCAAATGTGAACCGTATGCACTAGTGATAAGATGTAAAAAAAGTTTACGGGCAGTAAAGTTTACTTGGGCAAATGTATAAGGAGTCTGACGTCATTTATTGGCGTATCCTGAACCTTGAGCTGACTTCTCTTAGGTCTTACGTTTTACGGCACTGAATTAGCACCAATTACATGTTTAAAAGTTCACTGCATTGCATTTTTGACCTTAACCCTAAAGCAGCAAAGTTTATTTTACTGATTCTTTTATTTCGGTAAACAATCAATTAAAGCGCGAAAAATGTTTTTTTAAATTATTTATAGCAGTTTATTGCATCTGTAATTTTCCTACTTTCACCATATCTGTCACAATGACGTTTTTACGTTAATTGTTACAGGAAAATGGCGGCAATAATAATTACTAGTGTCAGAAATTTATAGGAAACTATTAAACCTGTGTTTAATGTCGTATTTTTTAATTAAGTTTGTGAGATAAAAATATTTATAAAACAGCACAAAGTACTACTGTAATGTAATAATATTTTAATATAACCAGATCATATTGTAAATAATATTTATGTTCAACGAGACGATGTATTCAGTCTTCCACTCTTGTTATGTTCAAACATTTTCTTTTTGTTCATTTGTTAATTGAATGAATGCTTATCATAAAATAACCTCTTTCTGGTTCACGAAAATAGAAATTGATTATAATTAATAAAAAAAACTAAAAGGGTACAATAAGGTTACAGAGTAAAAATCTGTCAAGAGATTTAATTCTGAGGTCAAGAATAATCAAACCTATAATCTATAGATCCGCCAAATACGTCTATTCCCAAAAGAATTCCATCAAATAAGTTTGGGAACCACTGTTGTAAGTAAAGAAAGAAATAAACAGGAAGACACGTATTATTTTTCTGTAAAAAAGGAAACCTAGATAACGTATGACACATAATAAGTTTAGTATTTAAACATTGATTCATCACGAGAAGATAATTGACTGGAAATGATACTGGGGACTTCTTTATTGACGTCACGTGATCACCGATGTGTCATCCAACTGAATCCATTAATAAATTTCATTACGTAAATATGAGATGTCACAAAGAATTTTCGACTAACAATTTTAATAGAAAATTACATTAAGTTCCTATCTTTGTTTAAAAAATATCACTTATGTGTTATTTTACTTGTACATTCACAACAGTTTCGTGATTAAAATGCAATTTGTACACCTTAATAAACGGACTACTACTTAGTTTCTAGGTAAGAAACATGTAAAATTTATGTATAGTGCATTTAAAAATTTATGGCCGCTTTCAAAATCACAAAAACACTAAATATACTAGTTTTAGGTAAAGGAATGCGGGGGCACACCTCTGCATGTGTCTTCCTCCACCAGACGCCCACTGCTAACATACGTTAGCTGCAAACATAAAGTTTGATTCTCATAATGTGTATGTATCCGCGGGCAGGCTAGCTTATGTTGGCATTGTTCCGGCTACCGACGCGGTTGGCAGCCCGATGATTGGCACTCTGGCAGTGGCATGCCATGATGCCACGCTACACGAGTGCATTATGTCATAACGCCGACGTCCGTACAATAGATATTGTATTACTGACATAATATATGCATATATACATATATACAAAAGCCAATAATGGGACGATCTTGTAGAAATCTTTAGGGTAGATATACACCCGAAAGTGACGACTTTCATTGGTGACGGTAAGGTTCGGATTTCCGCACGAAGATAGTGTAGACCATTTATTAAAATATGTGTTGGGTTTTCATAGACAGGTTCTCAGTGACATTTAAGATCTTTGTAAATAACGAAAAAGCAGTTTGAATGTCAATCAATAAAATACAGATACGAGTAAATTAAAAAAAGACAAAGACGTATACAAATACGTAGGTTGGCGCGCAAGTAAATGACAATCATAAACAAACAAAATGAACGCGCATTCCGGAGCGCGATTACTCGCCTCTGCACCTGCAACAAATACGGACAAAATCGTTGGCGGATGAAATTATGTGCCATTTTGATGATGTAACCTCTCACCATCACCGGCACATTATTAAAATATAATGAAATAACAACTGGGCGTTAATCTCAATTATTTAAAGACATAAAAGCAAATTCCTCGCGAAAATTAAAAAATTGTGCTCCAATTATTTCTTTGCACGAGACTACTGTCACCTTACTAGTCTATTTATGGTAACTTAATATCAGTTGTTTTATCAAAGCGCCAGGGGCGCTGACGTCGCGCGATAGTACGTGATAAAAACAATAACACAATTACACATTCTAGAAACATCGATGTACACGTGAGATATTAGAAAGATAAAATACACGTATCAAATCTATTTCACGTGCATTTTATCCAACACACAGAGATAGTAAAACGAAAGTAACACTTTTTAAAACTATTAAATTTTTTATATTACTTCAAGCTAGTTTCACTTTTAGTCTAATAGTTATGCCAACGAAGCGACAACTTTTTTAGCTCCAAATCTGAAGAAAAGAGGTTATATTTTAATTATCAGAAATTTGTAGCATTTTTTGCATATACCTATTCGTTTAAAGTCAATTTCCTTAGAACTGACCTTCCATAAGAGTAATATTTACATTAATTATCAATTTTCCTACTAAAGCTGATATTAGTACTGATAAATTCAAAGTAAAAAGGTATAATTAGAGAAATGCCTACCTCAATCCTCACTGAATTAACAATGATTACCAAATAATAACATTAAGCTATTATTTACCTAATGTTTACATAATTAATGCTATAATATTTACATATTAAGACGCATTTTAATGTTATCTGTAGTAAATAAAACGATAAGTGTGAACAAAACACGTGAATAGTAAAAATTGCAATCTGTTGAATTTCCATGTTGACTATTGTACTATTGGATATAAACATACTAACATACAAGCAACATAATGTATAATATAAACAGAAACAAAATGTATCCGATAAAATACTGGACCAACTTTCAAATTGTAATGTCAACGTTTCAATTTTATAACGCAAAATGCTACAGAACGCCATCTATTATCAAAATAAGTAAATAAGTATTAACCTTTTCTTTTTTTTGCCACACTTTTTTTTCAAGTACGAATAAGTTTGACTAGATTTATCCTGCCTACAACCAGTTTATAATACGTACTTATGCCCATGTTTACATCAGAGTTTGATAATTACATTAACTATTTCCTCATAGTCATGTTTCGATGTAATCAGAATACTAGCAGTGTAGTGCAAGCTACGATCATCGCAGCTATATTTAGCTCAGACAAACAATAGAATACTAAGTTCTTCCACATAACAGCTCCGATATACGCGTGGAAGAGCTCAAATCCAGATTATTAAACCATATATAACACACTAGCAGACATCTGTGGGTTTCTGAGACCAAAAACAACATAATTTAAACGGGGATTTTAGTCATGAAAGTCACGGTAAATGGCTTCCGTGAAATGATTTTTGCGTTCGACGAATTAAATTGGTAACAAGACTTTCTGGGACTCGATTCTTGCCGTTACTTCCCTTGGAAACGTTAATTGGTCACTAAGGGAGAATCTTAGTGTAGATTTATTTTCAAATTTATTTTAAAGTACGACAGTTAACCTTTTAGTTATATCGTAATAAAAAAAGTAAGTTTTCTTAAACCAGTCGTTTTTTTTTTATAAAAAAGGTATTGTTATTGTAGCTTTTGCAGTCACTTAAAAATATAAAAAAATATTCATTTATTTTTAAATCCAATTATTTGTTTACATATTTTAATTACGTTAATACAGTAAGTTTCCTTTATCGGTAAGTTATTTGTATATATGAATCATTAATATTACTGGCCATTATTATCTTATGAATGTTATTTTAAAAAATCTGAAAACTAGATCATAAAGCAAAGCGTTAAAACTGGTTATCTCACTAACCCCGTGAGGACTTCATCGGTTTACAAACGGACTAACTTGGTCTTAAAAGAACCACTGAATGTTAATATTTTTTCATTTCCCTGCAATTACAATAAGATGAAGATATATTTAAAATGTGGCAAATGTTTTTATAAAATAAGCAAATATTAATAACATAAAGCTCGCCTTGACCGCAAAAATAAACAACTTTAACGGTCGCATCTTAAAGTGACGCTCTTGAATATAGTCAAACAAGGATATCTGACTCGGTGACAGATGCGCAGCTATCGCGGGTAACTCTTTCACAAAATATACCATAAAAGAAACAATTACACCTACAGTACAACAAAGATCTTGATCTTGATACACTCTTTTGACAATAATAGGGTGGCGCT